TCCTTCCTTCCTTCCTTCCTTCCTTCCTTCCTTCCTTCCTTCCTTCCTTCCTTCCTTCCTTCCTTCCTTCCTTCCTTCCTTCTGTCCGTCAAGAAATTCTTATATGTTCATTTATTTTAAAAAATACAGTCCAAACATGTATGGTGCTATATATTATATAAAGAAATGTCAAATAATTACAAAAACGAAATGTGAGTAAAACAAACTCATTTTCACAGGCTATGGAGGCCATGCAAGAGCAGACCTTATTCTCACACGGCCTCTGCAGCCTCCGAAAATCATCTGAGAACGGGGTGTGCTTTTGAGAATAGTTGTGTGGGCGAATGCTGGCATGTCACTCCAAACATCTTGGTATATCACCTCTGACATCAGTGTCATAGATTTGCCATCACTGCTCTAAGCTGATGATCTTCTGAAGATCAGAGGCAAGGGGAGTGAATTCCGTTGGAAATCTGCCTGTATCATGCAGATGGGCAGGGATGATTCTGATTCTTAGCATGGAAGATATAATGTTTTTAAATGGAAGATGTATTGCCTAAGGTGATATTTTATAAGTATCAGTCACATATCCCCATCAGCTAAGGTTTGGCAGGTGATAGCTAGGGAGAGAGCCCTCTTCATGATACTAGCTGTAGAAATTGTCCCTCATAGAAATTAGTCTCATATTTATGGAGTTACCTTTCTGATCACAGGGAAGAATTTATTTTAAACAAAACTTTCCAAAGTTACCTGCTTGCTTTCTGTTTAACCTTACAGCTATTCAGATGTATACTCTTGTTCATTTCATATTTTAATATATTGTTTTGTTATTACTGTTGCTTTATATGAATTACTCTAGAAATGTATTTGGAGGGCAGTATTTAAAATTAAATTTGTATTACTGAGGTAATAATTTGCCAAGAGACTATGACTATGTCCATTGTCATTTAATTTGATAGATAGTAAACAACATAATTGTATAATGGTTAAAAATACTGCTTTAAGAAGTGCTTTCCCCAGAGCCTAAAGGTAGATCAACAATTTGTTTTTATCAATATTAAGAATGCCTCTCTGATGAATTACAGAAACCTATTATCATAAGTTCCTAGCATGTACCGAGATCTATACAATTCAAGCTGTCAGCTTTGCATCATTGTTTACTGGGTCAATTCACTGTTTTCTTAGAAGAAACACTTCTTTTGAAATTTCGAATGTTTCCAAATTTTATTAAAGCAAATGTTGATCTAGTGCCCTCTATTTTTTCCTGTTTAGGTGGAATAATTATAATCCACCCCTTCTGATTCATTCTTTAAGAAGATGGGAAATTCTTATGCGGGGCAACTTAACTCAATACGTTTTGAAGAAGTATTGCACAATTCTATCGAAGCTTCTCTCCGATCCAGTAATTTAGTCCCAAGGCCCATTTTTTCACAGCTATACTTAGAAGCCGAGCGGCAGCTTTCGTCTCTAGAAGGTAAGAAGTGCTTCTTTAAAGATAATATTTGTAGATCGGGGTTGGGTCCTTGGGTGACGTGTTCATTTTCTTGCAGAGATTTCATTACCCAACTAGGATTGATGATGTTACCTAGTTGGGTAATGAAATGTCTGCAAGAAAGCTATCAAGCTCAGAGAGCACTAGGGACCTCAAAGTGCTCCTTTGCTATTGCTACCTAAAAAACCCTAGTTCTCAAGGGGATGGGCATCATCCAACAGTATGCCAGTGGGCTTTCAAACACAGAATGGAATGTTCCCTAGCTCTGTTCATCCTTCTGCTTTACAGAATGTGTCCCAATCCTCCAAAATAGATTTAGATATGGATAAAGCTGCAAAATGGGCCTCCTAGTGAATATTTATTCACGAAAAATCACTTTTAGAATAGAATAGAATAGAATAGAGCTGGAAGGGACCTTGGAGGTCTTCTAGTCTAGCCCCTGCTCAAGCAGGAGAATCTATATCAGTGGTGGCGAACCTATGGCAGGCGTGCCAGAGGCGGCACTCCGAGCCCTCTCTGTGGGCACGCGTGCTGTGCCCCGAAGATGGTGAGGGACTGGCCCCCGCCACCCTGGCCCCACCCACCCAGTCTGCCATGACCACCGCGGCCACGCCCACCTGGCACCCGGTGATAAATAAGTGGGTTTTGGGTTGCAATTTGGACACTGGGTCTCTAAAAGGTTCGCCATTACTGACTTATACTGTCTCAGACAGGTGAATGTCTAGTCTCTTCTTAAAAATCTCCAGTGATGGAGCGTCCACGATTTCTGGGGGTAAGCTGTTCCACTGGTTGATTGTCCTCACTGTCAGGAAGTTAATTCCAGGTTGCTTCTCTCTTTGATCAGTTTCCAACCATTGTTTCTCGTCCTTCCCTCTGGTGCTTTGGTGAACAACCTGGCTCCCTTTGCCTTGTGGCAGCCCCACAGATACTGGAACACTGCTATCATGTCTCCTCTATTTCTTCTTTTCTTTAGACTAGCCAAACCCAAGTCCTGTAGTCGTTCTTCGTATATTTTAGTCTCCAGGCCTTTGATCATCTTTGTTGCTCTTCTCTGAATATTTTCCAAACTCTCAACATCTTTTTTGTGATATGGTGACCAAAACTGGCTGCAGTATTCCAGGTGTGGTCTTACTAGGGTTTTATAAAGCAGTACTAATACTTCGCGTGATCTTGATTCTGTGCCTTTGTTTATACAACCCAGGATTGTATTAGCTTTTTTGGTTGCTGCTGCACACTGCTGGCTCATAGTCAAGTGATCGTCCACTAGGAGTCCAAGGTCCCTTTCACAGTTACTGTTTTTGCTTGTACCTATAAGATTAGTATAGGGAGATAAAAGCTTATCAAGAACCATTCTTCCAGAAATAATTAGTGTATTCTTACAGTTCTTTTGCTGATACAGGATTAGAATGTTGTAAAGTCCTCCTTATGTTGAAACATAGGCAAAAATTCTCACTGAGTTTTGTTTTCAACTAGTGAGAGCCAGAAAAAATGAATAAATAAAAGGGAAAACTTTACATGACCCATCAGTAAGACAAAAGCAAAGCCTCACCTCTATTTTCAAAGGTCCCTTGTTTTTGTGATTATTGAACACATGGGAACCTAGCCAATTTTAATTGGTCTCACCAGTACTGTTCATTAATTCACTATATAGAAAGGGCTTTTGATACAGTATTAGATTTAAACTCCTCATCTGTATTAAGCCTGTAAATGTTATTGTTCAGAGTCTTTGAAATATGTCAGGGAGAAAGGATTCTATTTCTGTATGGAGATGTCTTCAACTGCCACTTTTTTAAAAAAAATAACTTCCACATATTTAACTGAGACTTATGCTGTATTGAGTGTATATCAGCTCACAGCTTTTTGAAGTTTGCAAATTTGATTTAGTGTAGTAAACTAGAAAGAAATATAACATTTGTGATTGGGATCCTACTATGCTTATGATAAAAATGAGCATAATTGGAACAAACAGGATTCAATATAATGAAATAAATTGCAAATTGCAAACTTACCAATCAGTGTTTCAAACAACAATTATTTTGGTGATGAATTATATTGATTAAGAGCTAATAGTATTTTTACATTTAAACACATTTTTATACTTCTTCATTTTGAACAAACAATATTGGGTTCTGATTAAAGTCCAACCTATGAACTTCAAAAACATTAGAGTAGCTTAAAGTATCAGAAAATATACCATTTTATTTTACCTTAATAGACAGCACTTATATACAATATTTTGGGCCCTGTTATTATCCTATATTACTTCCTGTGAGGTAAAAATCTTAAGATAAAATGCGAATCCTGGGTATACTCATACTTAAAAGAAACAATCAAACACCAGGGTAAAATACAAACAAAACTGTTTAATACACTTAGCTTTCGTCGGCTAACTACTGACGTCGTCAGAGCTTGCTTATAAGGCCGGCCGTTTTTACGCTCTGCTCATGGCTGGCTGGTTCTGGTGGACACACCAAGGGAGGGAGGGGGGAGTGACAATGGAAGGACACGCACAGTGTCGGATCGGGATACATAGCCCACAATGGTCACGGGAGGGGGAAGATTGGAAGATAGATTGGCAGCAACACCATATGGCCGGGCGCAGGAAAGGCAGGCGGGGAAGACAAAGAAAGGGGGAGAGGGTCCCCCAGAAGCGGCATACATGCCAGGAGATGAGATACAGCGAGGAGAGGCAAAGTGAGTGAGAAAGGCAAAGAAAGGAATAATGGGAGGAAAGAGAGCGACAGGACTAGAATGCGGACAAGGAGATGTGGGACAATTAGAGCAACTACGGTTAGTTAGAACAGGCGGCCCCATCACACGATCAATGGGTAGAGCACAGAGTCAATTGGGTTTATAAGCAAACTCCTCATTCCAAATGCTTACTCTGATGACACTGGCAGTTGTCCAGTGAAAGCTAAAACAGTCGATTTTTAGGTTTTATAGATAGTTGCTTTTATTGTTTTTATTGTTTTAACAATAAACAGTTGTTTCATACTTATCCCAGAGTTCGAGGACTTTATACCATTACACAAATATGCCTGGGATTCGCATTAAAGTTATTAGGGACATATATATTATACCATCCAATGCTTCCTCTCTTCTTCCGGTAGTACACATTTTCCCACACTAGGTAAATACAGTTCTTATTGTTGTTAATACATATACAATTGAATATCAACACCTTTGTTATATTTTCCTAATAATATCAATAATGTTCTTGATAAACTTTAGAATCTCCTACAATTTTGACCATCACTGTGGAAATATTTCCTTCAATTCATTTCTGTTTTCCTTTATCAGTTTAGGAAGTATTTCCTTCATGTCCATTTGGCATGTACCTGTGATCTTCCAGATTATTGAAAGAATAAGTAATACCCTTATTTTAGCATCCACTTATTTGAGTATTCTCAGTGTGGAATACCTGTGATCTTGGAACTTTGCACCAGCAATAAAATAAAGCGAATTGTGATATCAGGTGGGGAAAGGCTGTTTCTGTAATTGTTCCAAGATGATGGGGTTGTCTCTTTTCATATGTGTGTGATATTGATTCATTCGTTCGTTCGTTCATTCATTCATTTTATTCATTCAGTTTACTTATCATTGAATCAAAACAGACTCAGAGCAGATTACACAATAGTCAACACTAAAAGATTCATAAAAATACCCTTGGTACATATAACTAAAATTAAAATTATATAAAATATAAATGAAGTCACAATTCTGTTCCTGTCAAATAGCAATAGCATTTAGACTTATATACCGCTTCACAGTGCTTTACGGGCCTCTCTAAGTGATTTACAGAGTCAGCATATTGCCCCCCCCCAACAATCTGGGTCCTCATTTTACCGACCTCGGGAGGATGGAAGTCTGAGTCAACCTTGAGCTGGTGAGACTCAAACTGCCAAATTGCTGTCAGCCAGGATTCAGCAGAAGTAGCCTGCAGTACTGCATTCTAACCACTGTGCCACCAGGACTCTTAGCTTTTAAAGCTTTTAAAAATCTACAAAAAAAAATATAATCTTGGCAGCAGTATGAAAGTGGTTTGTCATTGCATTCTTCTGGATGTGGTTTAGGTAGCCCAGTCTAGCCTGTTTCCCAGGAATTAAAACACATAAACAAATAAATGTCCTTGAGGTCTTCCATCCAAGTACTTACTAAGCCTACCCCTATTTAGCTTGCAAACTCAGACAAGCAAATGAGGTGCCAAGTTTTTATTGGATAAATCAAACATCTGGAAAAAGTCCAGACAATTAAATCATTAGGAAACATGACTTTCTTTCATAGTCTGTTGGGTAAATAAAATTCTTTGTCTATTGATTCAGATACAATTTTTCTTAGGTGCCTAATTTTGGCTTAACACGCTAAATATGCAATAGAAGAAATACTAAATATGATCTGGGATTTTATCATTTGATTATTTTAAAAACTATCATAATTTTTCAGTTTATTTATGTGCCCAGTTCAAAGTGCTGGCTTTGATAATGAAAGCTCTTAGTGTTTGAGGCTAGGAATTGAAAAGATGCTTTCTTCTATAAATACCTATATGGACCTTGAGATTGTTCCCAGAGGCCCTTATTCAGATGCCTTCATAGATCCCAGTAAGATTACTGGGTCTTGACATTTCACTTGTGCCACCTTTATCTAGGTAGGTGAATTAATAAAAATATATTTGCTTCGGTATTTTCCCTTGTTAGCCTGAGTGCTGACTACTGTATAATGGTTTTATTTTCTACTGCTCAAGTATCCACACAATTTTTTCCCCTTTGCATAAGTGGCTTATCCAAATTAGAGTAAAGAACAATTCATACAATTATTAGAAAATTTATTCATTTGATTTATAATGATTGATGTTTATTTTCTGGGTTTTACTTGGAGAGAGTTCACTCATGGATGTGTGTTACTCAAACACTGACGCTTTGATGATTTCTTCCATGTATGAAGCAGCTGTCAGGGTTTGGAAGTTTTCCCAGGGGACTATATAGCTATGGATGTTCTGTGGTGTTTTGAGTGAGGTATGAATCAGGTGATATGATTGCTGCACATTTATTTATTTATTTATTTATTTATTATTTAAATTTATATACCGCCCTATCTCCCTTACGGGACTCAGGGCAGTGAACAGGCAATAATAAAAATCACAATAAATATTGAATAAAAAGCCTGCTCTAAAATACCCCATATAAAACCCCTAGCAAAGCCCAATCAAAACTACGCCAGGCCGGCCGCATGGAATAGATGGGTTTTCAAGGCTCGGCGGAAGAGGCGCAGGTCCATAGTTGTACGTAGGTCGGGGGGTAGGTCATTCCAGAGGGCAGGAGCTGCCACAGAGAAGGCTCTCCCCCTGGGGGTCGCCAGCTGGCATTGACTGGCCGACGGCACCCTAAGGAGGCCCTCTCTGTGGGAGCGGACTGGTCGAAGGGAGATATTTGGTAGGAGGCGGTCTTGCAAATTGATTCTGTCTGTACACTTTGTGTAGATTGTTCTCAAAATGTACATCCCATGTATGCATGTTGTGCATTTTATTAATGTTCCCACTGTGCCATATACCTTTGAAATTCTTTTTTTTATAACCATGTTTTATTAATTTTTTATAATCACAAATCCTTTAATATTTTATCAACATGATGTCTGGGTTCCAATATTTAGCTTACTAATATATGTTAAACTCCTTTCTCTCTACCTAATTTTTCTAACCATTGATAAAATATATTCCATGTTCTAAAGTATTCTGAATCTTCTTTCTCCTTCATTTTCAATGTAAGTCTGTCCATTTCTGCACAGTCCAAATTTTTCCTGATTATCTCTTTCTCCGCTGGTAATTCTTCATCTTTCCAATGTTGAGCAAATACAATTCTCGCTGCCATTTGTTTACATTTTAAATTCTTATTCACTTTGATTTTTCATAATCAAGTGCCTTCAAAATATATAGGTCTACAGTTTTCATTGATTCCAGCCTGTATGTATATGTATACTTCTGCATGCCTGGAAGGCGTCAAATGAGAAAATACTGAGTTTGCTCATGAAATGAATACAAATGCACTCCCCCCTGTCTCCCTCCCTCCCTCTCTCTTCTCTCTCTCTCACTATATCTATATCCATAGCCGTCTTATCTGTCTGTCTGTTTCTCAACAGCTGTAAATATGGTACAGCTGTTACTAATAAAGTAACTTGCTTGCTTATCCTAAAGTACAATTTATCTGAGTTCTAATGATAGTGCAACTATGAGAGGCATCTTGGAGTCCTAGTGGACAATCACTTAGATATGAGCCAGCAGTGTGCTGCAGCTGCCAAAAAAGCCAACACAGTGCTAGGCTGCATTAACAGAGGGATAGAATCAAGATCACGTGAAGCATTAATACCACTTTACAATGCCTTGGTAAGGCCACACTTGGAATACTGCATCCAATTTTGGTCCCCATGATGTAAAAAAGATGTTGAGACTCTAGAAAAAGTACAGAGAAGAGCAACAAAGATGATTAGGGGACTGGAGGCTAAAGCATATAAGGAATGGCTGCTGGAATTGGGTATGTCTAGTTTAACGAAGAGAAGGACGAGGGGGGACATGATAGCAGTGTTCCAATATCTCAGGGGCTGCCACAAAGAAGAGGGAGTCAAGCTATTTTCCAAAGCGCCTGAAGGCAGGACAAGAAGCAACAGATGGAAACTAATCAAGGAGAGAAGCAACCTAGAACTAAGGAGAAACTTCCTGACAATTAGAACAATTAACCAGTGGAACAACCTGCCTCCAGAAGCAGTGAATGCTCCAACACTGGAAGTTTTTAAGAAGAGACTGGACAGCCATTTGTCCAAAATGGTATAGGGTTACCTGCCTGAGCAGGGGGTTGGACTTGATGACCTCCAAGGTCCCTTCCAACTTTATTATTATTACTACTACTACTATTATTAGTACTACTACTACTACTATTATCATCATCATCATCATCATCATCATCATCATCATCATCTCTTTAGCAGGCAATAGGGTAGATAATGAGGAAGAGGAGGAGGAAGAAGAAGATGATGATGAAGGTTCAGAAACAAGTAGCCCTCCTGTTGCTTATCAGATGAAACCACCACCTGAAGGTTGTTGCACTACTGATGGTAAGAAATTAATGTTATTTGGATGGTTAATTTATAGGCATACTATAATCTTTCCGGCTCAGCAGACCAGCGGTGGTGGGGAAGGGAGGAGAGGGGAATGTTTCATGTGCTCACTCATCCATCACTTCCACGGCCTGGTTCCAAACAGGCTGCGGCCTGGCACTGGGCCGCAGACCAGGGATTGGGGACTCCTGTTATAGATGACTAAGATGTATTTTTTATATCAGCGACGTGGAATTATTTGTTTAGTATAAAATGGAACCAAATTGTAAAATCCAGCCAGAGCTTGATTTTACATGTAAAAATACATAATATTGATAAGGAGTGATTCCTTTTCACTGTTTCCATAAAATTTAAGGACTGGTTTTAGGTTTTATTATGTTGCAGGTAAAATTGAGTACTGTCCTGCAGCATCCTAAGAGGCTCATATGATTTCTGCACACCAATTACCATATTATTTTAAAAATACATAGCAAAATAGATACTGGAGACTGGTTATAAGCTGATCTTTTTTCTACATTCCATTTTTTCCATTGTGAGGGAGTATATTTTCATTACTATTTCAGTTTTCACATAGCAGAGTATGTCCATTTTTTTAATGGTGGCCCAGTCATTAAGGAGCTCAGACTGAAATTTACCACTTCAATAAAATTTATCCTTAATCAAAACCTTTTATATATTATGTCCACATATTTCATATCTTTTATTTATACACAATATGTGAAAATGTCTGTATATATTAAAAAATCATAGGAATAGAAAAATAGAATTTAGATCAAGTTTAATTTATAATCCATCTCCTCCCACACATTTTTCATGTTCTATCATGCCGATTATAAAAATGTTTTGTCAAATTATTGATTATAATCAAAATTCTTTTAATTTGTAAATTCAAAATATTGGGGTATAACTGTAAGAAAAGAAGTATGTATATTAGCAATATATTCTAGATCATCTGTGAATGGCATCACTCATAGAAAGCGTACATCAAAGATTAATAATTGAGCCAGTTCCCATGATAGATTTTAAGATCAAGTTTAGCGAATGATTGTGTGCTAATATTATTTGATCTGAAGCTATATCAATGTCGTTATTTTTTTTTTCCTGGAAACCATTTGGAAATAGGTTATACTTGAGATTTGCATGTGCTGCTACACTGAAAGTGCATTTTTTATGTAAAGCTTTGTTTTATGTTTGGAAATGACATGTTGGCACTTCTGTTGCCAGCATTAGCTTTAGGCATTAAAAATAATCCTATTTGTCACATTCTGTCACAATCTATTGTATAGTACAGCCTCTAACAAGCCCAGGCTGTCCAGACACTGGGAGACAGCAATATATAGCTTTATACTAAGAAAGTTGGCAAGGCATCAGAGCCTGCACCTGGTATATGACTCAGCCTTCCATCCTTCTGAGGTAAAATGAAGACCTAGATTGTTGGGGGCAGTTATGCTGACTCTGTAAATCCCCTTAGAGAGGGCTTTAAAGCACTGTGAAGCGGTATATAAGTCTAAGTGCTATTTCTATATACCCAGGAAGACTTAGTGGTGTTCATGCTATTCACCCTAAAGTTCATATAAGACTATACAAAACAAAGAGACTTTGAAGGTTTTTATGTATGCTAAAGGTGACTATGACAGAATCAAGCAATCATTCCTTATTGAGGAACAGCAGTTTGTTGTCAAATTTGTAGGGTTGCCAGGTGTCCACTATTTGAGTGGACAGTCCGATTTTTTCACATTATGTTCACTATTTTTTTTCACAAAATAGTGGACATTTTTTTTATTCAAAAGCTTTATGACGAAATGGTACGTAATCTAAAGCTGTACAGTCTACTTTTTTTACTACTTAACCCCCCCCCCCGCTTGTCTGCTATTTTTTGGAAGCAGACCTGGCAACCCTACAAATTTGTATCGTCTGCCCAATAAATGAAAATGTTTTTTTTTTAAAAAGGAAACACCGTGCTAATATGTTTCAAATAATAGATAAGTCCTTGACTTACAACTGTTCATTTAGTGACCATTTGAAGTTACAACAGCACTGAAAAAAGTGACTTATGACTGTTTTTCACACTTACGACCGTTGCAGCATCCCCATGGTCACGTGATCAGATTTTGGACATTTGGCAACTGGTTCATATTTATGATGGTTGCAGTGTCCCAGTGATTCCCTTTTGCAGCTTTCTGACAAGCAAAGTCAACGGGGAAGCCGTTGTCTAACTTAACAACTGCAGTGATTTACTGAACAACTATGGCAAGAAAGGTTGTAAAATGGGGCAAAACTAATTTAACAACTGCCTCACTTAGCAACAGAAATTTTGGGTTCAATTGTGATTGTAACTCGAGGGCCAAAATTCTGTGAACAGGGGGCCCATTTGTCCCACTTTCTTCTACTGTTGCCAGTTGCTGAAAAGAATATATAAAACATGTAGGGCATAATTTTCTCAGGAAATTGCACGTTGCACTCTTTGCACATGGGATATAATAAAAACAATGATTGTGCAATATTTTGAAGGGCAAATCTACACCCTTACGAACATATGAACACAAATACCCTCTTATCCACTAAGAATGTTTTGACTCCAGTCCAAGGTTTAAAATCATAGCCAGGTCATTTTGGCTTACCAATGCCTGAACTACACCTTGAATTACCGGGTTATTTTTGCATATTTCCACTGCCAGGTTTCTTTTTTTTAAAGTTTAACAGAGGTTTGCCAATAGATGCTGACTATCAGTATTTGAATTAAGGAGTTTTGCCCAAAGGTTAAAGAAAGGTAAAGACTTTTGAGCAAGTAAGTGAACCCTCCCTTTCTCTTTTTTAAATATTCCTTTTTTTTGTTTGTGCAGTTTTAAAAATGGTAAACAGAACTCTTGATAATGATGTGAGGAACAAATTTCTAAGCTGAATTTCCCTTTCATCTTCCCATTTTAAAGCAGATTTAATCATACCCAGCTATTTGTTACCTTTTCTTCGTTATTAGTTATTCTCCTGTTTACATTTTTTTGGGGGGTAAACTTTCTATGCTGATTTCTTTTGCTCCTATATGTTAATGCTTCTTTGCAATATATGCTGCTACATGTTCCATCGTGGAATCTTATATCAAGCTAACTAAGTGGGTCTTATAGATAGATGAGAGCACTTTTCATACTCCCCAGCTTTAGTTTTGTTTTACTGGCAAACTTGATGAAGCCTGTTGTCCTTTTTCTTCCTCTCCAGGTTTCTGTCAGACAGGTAAAGACCTCAGGCTAGCGTCTATTTTAAATGAACCAATTGAAGTGCCTTCAGGATTTTTACTGGTTGGTGCAAAGTCACCAACCTTACCTGATCACCTTTTGGTGTGTGCTGTGGATAAGCGATTCTTGCCCGATGACTATGGGCACAATGCCTTACTAGGTAAGTGGGATTGGTAATTCCCTTTGTTGTCATTCAGCAACATTAGCTGAACAATCTAATCTTCTGCAGTTTGCTCTCTTATCCTTGAAAAAAATACAATATGAGCATGAACACCAGTACAAATATCTTTGATTCTAGTCTATGCTTAAAAACATAGTAAGGTCACTTTGGCTTACCAATGCTGGGATTATACCTTGAAATATTTTTGCATATTTCCACTGTCATTTTTTTTAAGTTTAAAAGTTTAAAAAAAGTTCCCTTTCTACTGCCTTGGAATGGTTTTATTTTAAGATATGATGTTGGTAAACTACTTATTGGTCAAGCTATGTTCTTAGGAATCCAGAAGTCATTGTACATTCTGAATATCATTTTAGCCTTAATTTTCATTACATTCTTTATATAGTTCATTGGTATGTTTGTTAACAACTGCATACCAATACTAACTAACTGCTGTAAGTTATTCTAAATTCGGCCTCACCTTATTAGAAACTGCATCTCTTTAGTTTCAGTAGATCTTTTCAAATTTGGAATATACATGTCCTGCCAGGTAGCCATATCCCTATGTTTAATGGATAGTATTCTAAATAAATAATTAAGAAAATATATTTATTTTTATACAGCTATAAGACATACCAAGAGATACAATGTCCAAATCAGACTCATTTACGATCATTTTAGGATGGATTAATAAGCCTTTTCTTTGTCACATAAATCTACCCTACAAGTTGCCATTTGTGCATCTGACCTTGGAGGTTTAGTCAGTCTGACAGGAGCCAGTGGTTGTAGATCTTAGAGTGGACTTGGACAGGGAAAAGAAGGATGGCCTAGATCTAATTTGTTTCTTTCTCTCTTCTAGCTTGCTTTAGTTACAGAATTGCTGACTGGCAGGAAAAAAAAATGGGATAAATCAATCTCGAAGGAATGCAAAATAAAGATGGGATGAATAGATAGATGTTAGTCAAATTAATTTTGTGAGTGGAAGAAGATGTCAATCCAGACTAAACTCTGAAAGAAACTAGGTTGGTGCTGAACAAATCCGTTAATAAGACTTTTAACAGCTACAGCTCAGATTTAGTGTATAACTTCAGAGAAAACACAATTACTTCTCAAGTAAATTTACTCAAGTATATTTTGAAACTTTTGTTAGAAAGTTATTTTCCATACTGTATATAAGTCATCCTTTTACTGGACAGAAAAAGTGTTTGATGTTTGAGTGGCCATTAGTCGTATTACTAGCAACAAAGATCTACAGAGGCCTGCCAATAAAAATCAAAGGAAAACCACAGTGAACCCATATAAATAAATTTAAGATTTTAGTTTATAGCCAGCTCTGTGGGAAGGGGCAGAGTAGATAACTTTGTCAAGCAATAATATGTTTTGCTGTAAGATCTTGCTGTCTTTGATGGGTTACAATACAATTGGGCAGCAATAGTAAAGGAATTAAAGGGGCTATAAATTAGCAATGTGTTGTCATTTTAAAGATACAGGGAGTAGTGTTGAACCACTCAGCCCATTCATTGCTCCTGCTATTAACAGTTTAAAGTTCCTAGGGTTGTTAAATCAGAGGAAGTAGTATATGTGTTAATTGCATGCTAAACTACAGGAGAAAAGGATAATAAGAAACATTTGGTAATAATAACTAGTGCTACATTTGTATGTACATTTGCGAGTATGTTGAATTGAACACTGGTGCTCCAGTAACTATACACACCAACATTCTTCCTTACATCATGTACATATTCTTTACATTATTTACCCAGTGACCATTTTGAGTTCCCTTCAATTCAGTCTCTTTCTAAACTTGTGAGTCTATGATATCTGCAGCAAACCATGATGACACTAAAAGAACAACATCTACCCAGTGATGTTTTACTAGTGTTGCCCTGCATCTGATGTCTGATGCAAATTATATCACTTGCATGATGAAACAGTCCCATGTTTTTCACTGTTTCCCTGCTAGCTCTGTCAATGCCCATGATTTAAAGAATTTGAAGCAGAAGTTCATTTATTTACTTACAGGGCTTGCGGGGGGGGGGAACTCCAATTAGATCTCTCTGAGACATATTCAATTCTCCCATCCATAACTGGAATTAAAACGCTACAAAATCCAGTTTAAAAATAATAACATAAAACTGAAAGACATACTCAGTTCCTTCTCAAGATTGATAGGTGTAGCAAATTGGCCCCCATGGCTTGATGGAACATTTTTTTATTAATTTGTTGAAAGCCAGGAGGGAGGGAATTGTGCAAATGTTGGGGTTAATACTGTTCCATGCATGGGGTTGGAAACTGCTTCTATAGTCTATGAGGATGGCAGTCCCTGAATGAGGAGACATATAAAGAGTTCTCTCCCCCCCCCCCGGCCCTTTATTGGGTGGACAGTTGTTATTGGGAGACACTGGTTTTGCAGTTATCTAAGTCAGACCCTGTAACACTTTAAAGGTATCAACCGGCATCTTGAACTGCACCCAAAAACCAACTGGCAACCAGTGCAACTCTCAGAGTAGGAATGATATATGTGTGCCATGAGGTGCACCCAAAACAATTTAAGCTGCCGCATTTTGGACCACTTGTAACTTCTGAATGCTGAAGGTCCACCCCATTTAAAGTGTTTTGGAGTAGTCCAGTTGAGAGATAGCCATGGGGGGGAAAAATGTCTTGCCTTCTGGTGTTTTCCAAAGAAAGTAAGGAGAGGGTTGCTGAAACTTTTAAAAAATTAGACTGAGAGGAATAAGACATGAATGCAAAAAAATGGACAAGTTATACAGAATGGACAAGTTATATAGATTCAATGCAAAAAAATTTAAAAAAATCAAAATATGTATCAAGAAATTTATTTGTGCACTTCTGAATGCTGAAGGTCCACCCCATTTAAAGTGCTTTGGAGTAATCCAGTTGAGAGATAGCCATGGGGGAAAAAATTTCTTGCCTTCTGGCAAGACATGAATGCAAAACAATGGACAAGTTATACAGAATGGACAAGTTATATAGATTCAATGCAAAAAAATTTAAAAAAATCAAAATATGTATCAAGAAATTTATTTGTGCACTTTTGAATGCTGAAGGTCCACCCCATTTAAAGTGCTTTGGAGTAATCCAGTTGAGAGATAGCCAAACAATGGACAAGTTATACAGAATGGACAAGTTATATAGATTCAATGCAAAAAATAAAAAAAAAATCAAAATATGTATCAAGAAATTTATTTGTGCACTTTGTCAGAAAGAAGACAAGGAACCATGCCAAACAATAGCATCTTAGAATTTCTCCTCATGTTATGCCGGCAACACTCTAGGTGTCTTTTTGCTTGCTTCATTCCCCTGGAGCTAGGCTTGGAAAATGCATGACTTGCTTTAGTAATAGAGCTTAATGGTCACTTGTGTTTAACAGTGGTTTGTATAGAACTTGTGTAGAATTGCCACCTACACCCTTTCCAGCTCCATTAGTGAAGGTATCTTTTTTTTTAACTAGCTCAAAACATGCATCCATATCCACATCCCTGAACAGAATTTAGTTCTGAGTAATTCTAAGGACATGGCTAGGGCAGCTTCAGAGCCAACTTAAAAAGTGATACGTATAAGACCTTTCATAAATAAATCACCTTAAGTGATGCTGAGATGGAGTCACATTTTCCCATCTCCCCTGAACTCTTATTTTCAATATCAACATGCATGTTTCCTGAGGGGATTCTGCTTATTTGCTCTGGTTGAAAACTTCGAGGGATGATATTTGCAGTAGGAAACACGTGGGTTAGCCAAAAAAAGGTCTTTTGGAGCATTTCTTAATTGATTGCACTTTTGAGGGTGGGTTTGCCTGGAGGCATCCAGGAGCTCACAGGCAAAATAACTCTGCATTTAGTAATTTCTTGAGCAATTTTTTATCTTCCGGTTTCTATTCACGGCAAGCAGTGATATGTCTGGAGGGCATAAATAAGGTTCATTTATTGCTTTTGTTTTGGTTACAGCTCACTGCCTCTGTGACTTGCACTGGTCATCTCTCTCTCTCTCTCTCTCTCTCTCTCTCTCTCTCTCTCTCTCTCTCTCTCTCTCTCTCTCTCTCTCTCTCTCTCTCTCTCTCTCTCTCTTCCTCTCCCTCCCTCCCTCCCTCCCTCTCTTTTTTCTCTCTCTCTGTGTGTATGTGTTCAAATGACTATTCTGGAGTTGGGTCTCCTGTTCGGCAAATCATATCCTGTACTAATTTGTCTCTGAATCAGTGCACTCAGGTAGGAAAAGTATTGCAGTACATGAAAATGGAATCTATCAAATGGCCTTTGTACACATCTCTTAAAATCAGAACAATTAGCACAAATAAAATTTTGGAGTTCTGCCTGTAGCATTTAAGACGTCATCATCACTTGTTTTCTTTATGTGTCATCTTCCAAGGCACTTAATTCATTAATTTTGCTGCTGTTACTCAAACACAGACATTTAAAACTTTTTAATATAATAAAAATAGCAATAAAAGAAGTAAAAAGTAAAATCAATAGTATTTGAAAATTTGCTGTAAAAATCAGCCGAAGTATTAGAAGAATCATGAATGGAAATAATAGTTTTAAACAGCTGCCTGAATAAAGCTCATATTAATAGTTTTCTCACCTCTGCTACCATCAGTGATGATGCCCCAATAAGAGAAGAGTTTTCTTGACCTGTGAAAGTCTTCCAATTTCTCTTCAGTGGTTTTTTCTTTGGTTTTTTTTTTCACTTCTCCTTTTTGGGTGCAAACAGCTCGACTTTTCCCTCCAATCCAAAAAAACTTCATTTTGACAGTTTACCTCCATTCTTAAGAAGACCTATTAATTTCTTAAGGCAAAATTAAGTACTGTAGTGGGAAAAGCTCAAGAGTATTTTCACATTGTGCATGGGGTATACTAGATGCTCACGCAAATCACATATTCTTTTTAGTCAATTTCTTGCTGTTTCTATTAAGACTCATAGCGTAATTGACCTTGGTTGATCTTGAAAAAGCTAAGCAGATTTGGACAAGATCAAGAAATCTTGGAACTGCAGACTAAACTGGCAAATTTAAAAACATCCTCAGAGGCAGTAGTAGTTGCAGATTTTTAAGGGAAAATAGTAACTTGGTCTATATCCTATGAAGGATTCATATAAGAGCAACTTTACATTGTGTTGGTCTTTTAACTATCTCAGTAAAGGTAGCAGTAGATCATGTTACTTGTTCTTGTTAACCACAACGATAACATCTATTTCTGTATCATTTTTCTACCTAATTGTGGGTCCACAGAGACCTTAACATCTGTAAAATTGAAACGTAATGGCAATAAAGCCATAATGATGATTTAACAATAAAAATAATTTAGATTGCAATATAACGTAGCAGAGATCCTATTATATGATCAAAATGCCTACTGTATTGATAAGTTATATATGTTCTCTGACTTTAAAGGTCATAATTTTAAATTTAATCTGTGAAGAAATTGATAACCAGGGCAAATGCAATATGAATTATTGCACCTAGTGCTAAATTAGAATCATGCATCTATGTTTTGGATCAACTGTTTTATCAAATTTAAGCTCATATAGAACACATTAAAAATATCTAGTCTAAAAGATACATAAACAGTATCTGATAAACTAGATAAAAAAAAAAAATCTGAGGTAGCAGCCAAAACTGAAAGAGTCAGTTAAATTGAAGCCACTAAAGCAATGATATTTGTCACAGGGGGAAAAAAATGGTGTGGCTTATTTCTGTGCATTTTGCACAATGTTCAGCTTTTCAGAGCATGAAGATATCTATTACTATTTATTAGACAAATAAATACACAGGCTGTAGACAAATCTCTGATAGATGTACAGAAGTGGACAGTCTTACTAGTATGATTCCTCATGGCATGTTAAATATCTAAAATTAATTGAAGTTGCACATATGAAATAGTATTCATCCATTCTTGGAATATAATAATAAAAATATAATAATTCTCCCTAATCCAGGATCTGTTTTTTTTCAGTGGGCATTTTAAGAAGAGTCATAAAGTAGGATTGTTTCTATTTACAAATGAGAGATTGTTCATTAATCCTTTTTCACGAGTCTAAACAAGCATACAACATGCAAGCAGAAGGTGGGAAAGGATAAGTTTATGATGTGATATAAAGTAATCCTTTCCTACTTTCTCCCAAATTCTGGGGCCCTCTAAGTTGTGAACAGATTTGTTTGAGTAGAGTGATGTTGTGCAAGGGCATCAGTTGCTTCCTATGTTTTCTTTACTTAAAGGAACTATTACTCACAGGTGTGCTGCCTCTGATCCTGGAGGGTCCATTTAGCTACTTAGTTAATTACACAATGTGTCCATAGAATGGACCTTTTAAGATTGTTGCTTATTGCCACATTCTAGCACAATCATTTCATCTGTTTTAAATATATATTTTGTTATATGCAAGAAGAAAAAAGCCCACAAAAGCATATTTCTCTTAGGTGCTAGTCTTACATACATACTCATATCATATTGCACAGTTGAATTGGTAATACTTAAGTCATTTTACTTAAGAGGGGGAGAAAATAGGAAATTAAATATATCAATGGATAAATGCAGTCTGAGCGGTGTGATGGTCTAGAGGTGGAGCTCTTGCCTCACAATCTGGAGGTTGTCAGTTCGATCCTCGGTAGCAGCATATATTTCTCTTTTTCTGGACTCAGTGAGTAGTTGTGTGCTGCAAACTCCACGTAGGCGGCAGGAAGGGCATCTGGCTAGTAAACTCAGTTCCAATCAGTCACCCCAACCTCACCCTGAAGCAAGGGTTTGCAGGGTCGTTAATTCCCCCCCAATAAATGCGGTCCAAATTTTGAATAGTTCTCCAAATGACACTCAAGTTTGTTCACGTGTGTGGAGAGATGAATCCTTCATACTATTGTGTAATTGCCTTTCCAATATTGAACTGTCTGGTTTTTAGATCATAAGATCCTAGTTTTAATGTCTTATATTGTTGTCAGGGCTGCCTCTGATCAATTCCTAGGAAAGAAAACCTTTGACTTCATAAATTCAGGGAAAAATTGCTTTTACTAAGAACAAACTGAAAGCAGCAAAAGTCAGGCAAAGTCTGAAGCAAACATGTGTGAAAAAGACAAATTGAAAATTACCCCAGAGCCCACCCTCACGTAGTCAGGCAGACAAAGTCCAATCATTGGCCAGGATGATGTTTTGGGAACGTCTCTGGTCCAGGTGCTCCGGGCCGCCCTCGTGCATGCCTTTCCCAGGACGATTGGCTTTGAAGATGTTAAACAACCCAAACTGGCCTCTCTGAATTCAAGCCTCCCCATCGGTTCTCAGCAATCCCACTCTCAAACCACCTGCACGCTTCCCCTCCCAAATGCCCATTGCTCCCTCCCTTCCCGTTTCCATGGCAGCTGGCAGCAGGCTTGAAGGAAAGTGATGATGGACAGGCTGACAATTGTTTTCCTGCTCATTTCAGAAGAGCATAAGCACCAAGACCCTTATAGTGCATGGCAGTTTTATAAGAACACAATATTTTCTGCAAAACTCAGTGGGGCAGTGAAATAGTAAAAGAGCCTGGGCACAGGTGGAGTACATCTAAAACTAAAAGACTTATTTGGGTCTTTGGCCCTCCCTTGAAAGGTCATAGCACCAAGAGGAACCATACGCCTCAGATGTGGTCTGGCAGAATTGGCCAAATAAAATTAACAGATTACTCAACCTTTGGTCAGGGTTGATATGGGCTGGTTTTGAACTGAAGACCTTGAGGTGAAAGGCCTTGATCAATCAGACTACAAATATTGATTTCTAGCCATCTTGCGGTCTCAGCTATATGACAGAGATAAATGGGAGCACCTTCTGGTTGGTTTGGCTTCAGTGACCTCTGATTTAACCACAATGCACATGGAAAATCTTTTTATTTAGTTTGCTTACAAGATGAGGCTATTCGTCTTGCCCTGTGCTAGGTCCAGATGCTTGTGTATAACCGGGCATGACGTACGATTCACATTTACTTACTGAATTGCTTAAAAATGTCATTCCAGTACAAATTGGCTGTATAATAATTTTAGAAAGCCTCTGCTCAACATGGAAAATGGGTCTGCAGTTATTTGGAAGCATTTTTATTCTGCATGCAAGCTTGCAAAATAACAGTCCAAATGTGGGGAAAAAACATTGTGCCTTTGTAGGAATTTTGGAAATGTACAGTAATTCCACTTAGTTCTGCCTTTTAAGGGTTCTTTTAGGTGAATATTTTATAGGTCTATCCATTTGTTCTCATTAATTAAAAAAAAAACCACTAGGTTCTTTGTGACATCACCTGACTGACAGCCAGTAGCTTTATTCACAGCCTGTCCTCTGTACAAATTTGCTCTTAAAATCTCTCAGCTTGTATAATAGGTGGTAAACAGATGAAATACCTGGAGTTAAACATAGAATCTATTTATCATGGAAATTATTTTAAATGGCTCCTGAACTCAAATTCTGTTTAGTATTTTAAATTTTTTGGCTGCAGTTGGATGTCTTTAAGAGAGTGTGTAAAAAGTTCAAACAAATTAGTATGAAATCCAAGTAGTAAAAGAACTGCGGAGCAGCTGTATGTTGGCTATCTGCCAAAGTCTAATAAAGTTTAATTCTCAAATTATCTACATCATAAACATCTAAAAAGTGTGATCAAACTTGTAGCTGTTTTGTGATATTAATTTCTTTCCTTTTCCTCCCATTCCCATTATCCATTGACCTGCCTGGCTAGCCGTTTAAGAGACATGGTGTTTCCACCTGAATTTTATTTAAAAGCTAAATGAAAGAAATAAGATAGGTATTACGTACATTTTTTTTATTTTGAAAAATCTGGTGTCTGTGTATGTTTCTGCTTGTGTTCAGAGCTACCATTCATTTTGTTAAAAGCCATTCCAAACAGACTGAAGCACATTGTATGGACTATTTGATTTATTTTACCTCATCGTTGTTACTGTTTATTTCATCAGGTTTCTCTGGAAACTGCGTTGGCTGTGGCAAGAAAGGATTCTGCTACTTTACTGAGTTTTCTAATCATATCAATCTAAAGCTCACCTCTCAGCCCAAGAAACAGAAACACTTAAAGTATTATCTGGTCAGGAATGCACAGGGCACACTTACCAAAGGCTCGGCAATCTGCTGGAAGGGGGCAGGTGAGATAATGTAGCTGTCCTTTTAAAAGGCCTGGAATATTTCTGGAAAGTTTAGAAGTTATTGACACAGAATTCCTTAGAAATAAATCTAAGATGCCAAAGATCATTGACATTTTGTTAAAATGTATCTACTATAAAGTCTCACATTTAAAAGTCCCTTAATAGATAGTGGGGGAGGCATAAACACCTATAGATTCCAGTATGCCTTCAATATAAGTCTGAACCACAATGTATGAGCATCCAGTCTTCTGCCATTCCTGGAGGAGATAGGATTGGGGAAAATATTTATTGATAAATTAGATGAAATAAATGATTTGAATAACATTTCTTCAGGAATGAATAATAACTCATGAGCTCCTTCTTTCAAGTAATAATGAAGGCACGTCTGCCTATGTTAACATGTAAAATTCAATTTTTGTAGAAAAGATTTGCAAAAACAAAGTGAACAGTTCTCACTGGATAACAAGCGTCTTGTTTTTTTTAGAATTCAGAAACCGACAATCCTCCAACAATTCTTCCCATACATTATTTCAGCCTCCAGAGAATACAGGTTCTTCGGCAACAGTTATGAATGAACCATTTCTAGCAGCACATCCGGTAGGTCAAGCTGGAATTCATCAAACAAGTAAGTATTAAATTTTCTCTCAAATGTTCCGATCTGCATTTTCCTTTGCTTGGTATGTCAAATCATCTTGGATGGATTGAAACAATAGCATGCCTTAGCATTTTGTATGACCCTAAATTGCTTAGGGCAATACATGAAACTTGCCTATTATTTATCACCACTGATTGAATAAATCTGATGCTGAATTAATCCATTTTGGCTGCTTTGCAAAATATATTAAATCATAAACTAATCAAACTGGCTGGATTTGCACTTTAGGTAAGGGAAAAAATGAATAAATAAAACTAATAAAGGTTAACCAAGGCTAGTGTGCTATCCCTATGTAGCTGGTGATTCTTTAAACCTAATTTAGCATATTATCTGAACACAAAATAGAAGTGTTAAGAGGGTCAAACACATGTGGTGAACCAGGGATGCATAATTCCCAGATTTCTGTTTCAGATGGTATTTACTGCCAGGAATAGTCTGATCTGCAATAATTTCTTTCAAATGTGAAACACTTCTTCCACTTCCAATACTTCTTTTGACAGTTGGAAAGCAGTTGTTGATTTCTTTGGTCTTACAATTCTAACGAAGTTAGAGTGTTGAGTTAACGTATTTCTAGGTCAACTCTGCTATTGTTGAACTGCTTGAAGCCAGGGCTTTTTGTATGCGTATAAGTATGAAAATGCTGTGACTTAGACTTTCGATCACCTCACAGCTTCATCTGACAGGAAGAAAAAGCCAGGCCAAACCAAGTCATGATTTGCAGGGCTGGTCCTATGTTAAGGAGATGGGGACTTAATTATATCTAAATGAAAAAGAATTTTGTCCATTTTTTAAAATCAGGATCACCTTGACAAAATCTTGGCTAGTGGATTCTTTGATTTGAAGAATGATAATGGTGGTCGAGTATCAACTCTATAATTTCATAGCTGGGAAAGCCAGCTGGGTGATTTTGAGCCAGTCATTCTCTCTCAGCCCAACCCACCTCACAGGGTGGTGGTTGTGGGGGAAGTAGGAGGGGGAAGGAGCATCCTGTGTTTTTACCACCTTGAGTTATTTGTAAAAACAATAAAGGTGAGAAATAAATAAATAAATAAATATTAAAATAAGTCCCATAGCTTCTACCAGTGCTAAGATTCTCTGGATCTGCACTGTGACTTGCCAATCGCAGGACTGCTAGCTAAGAATTCTGGAAATGATAGTCCCAGGTTGCCAGATTGGAATAGGTATTATCAAATTTACATGGCACAGGTTGATAAAGACCACTTGGTTACTGGCCTGACAATGGGAATAATTATGGTGAGAACACTGTAAGCCAGGGGTCTTCAAACTTGGCCCTTTTATGACTTGTGGACTTCAGCTCCTAGAATTCCTCAGCCAGGCATGCTGGCTGAGGAATTCTGGGAGTTGAAGTCCACAAGTCATAAAAGGGCCAAGTTTGAAGACCCCTGCTGTAAGCCTTCCCACTGCATTTATTTTGATTGATGGCACCTTTTCTAGATAGCCACTTCACTTCTTAAAATAACATTTTAAGTATTTATTCAGTCTTCGGAAAAGGTCTCCTGTCCTAGTAAGAGGTGCTTTCTTAGGTGACTGAAATAATCCTTGTCCATTCAGATGAAAGCCTCATAAAATTCAGTGTGACTTTTTCACAAAGTGATTAAACAGAAGTGCAGGCCAAACTTTGATTGTGCTTTTAGCTAATCCATTCACTAAAGTATGATATTTAGACTTCATTACACCAATTGTGTTAAAGTTTAGAGAGTGGATTAAATAAAACATCACTTTTTCTGTTTTGTAGGGTTTTTTTTTTGAGAAATTTACAAATGTGAGAAAGTGTACAATTCTTTATTTATAGAAAGTGTATGATATTAAAATACAAAATACTCTGCATCACTGTAGAATTAATGTTCGGTACTAAATGCAATAAAAACAGCATATAACAAAAGTGGAAACATCTGTGAGAATAAATTGGTTGCTTAGTGAATGATTAACACTGGACAGAGAATGAACAAGAATGTAGGATGTTCTCTTGGTTGTTTAATGTATTTACTAATAAAAAGTGGTGTTGTTAAAAGTTTATTGACTGGGTCTGTGAATGTTTATGTACCTTTGTGGGCGAATGCTGCATACGTTGCCTGAGAAACCTAATGATTTTCAATGAAATAAAATTGTATAATGCTGGAAGGAGTATGAATCTGAATCTGAGTAAACATAAAAATTAGTTAAATGCAGCATGAATGGATTATTAAGTAGATGTATTTTAAAACAAAAGCAAGGACTAGGGAGTGAGGCTTGGATTGAAAATGAACCACTAACATGGAAGAAATACATTGGTGATAGAATAAATGAGCATGGAAAAAGAAAATAAATATGGCGGAAGATGAAAAGGCTGAGGGGAAAAGAAAATATGAAAAAATAAATGAATCATCCCTCATAAAAGAAAGATATGAGAAAATTAAAGAACAAGAGACAATATTTGAATCATGTACCAGACTGATGGAAACTAGAACATTTTTTGAAGCTATAGAAATATAGAAATATAGTCAGGTACGATGAACGGTGCAATATATATTTAGCTACATTTCTCTTCCCTTTCTCTTATTTCACACTTTTAATTCTGTGGCTTACTGTTTCTTACAGCTGTGATTTGTATAATGTTTTTATCCTGAAAGGGAATGTGGTACTTTTGTAAGTAATTATAATAAAAAAAAGTCAAGTTAGATTATTAAAGATGGCTAAAATTAACCAAACTAACACTACTCTTACAAAATAATTCCCCATCTGTGGCTGTGGCCATTTTTTAAATCTTTTTAACAGTTTTATTGTAATTCATTTGATTGTTGTGAGCCTCCCAGAGTTGTTTGGAGTCAATTGGCATACGGGTTTAATAAAATATTATTATTATTAACTAGCAGATTGTTACTGCTAATAAGAAGGAACATCTAATCTTTTGCTACTTTTCTGAGCTGGCTGGAGCAATGAACTTTTCTAAAAGCTCTAAAATATGAAGGAGAAAGTGCCATACATTATGTTGAAGACTTAGCTATGTACCAAATTCATTAGCTATGTGGGCATATAATAGTGGTTCCCTCAGCCAACTCACATTTCTTAGATGCCTGTAGTTTATAATCTGGAACTCTGAATGTCTGTTTAACAGATATAACTCTAGTGAATTTAGTACAAACGCACCATTGCGTATTTCAAAAGGTATGTTAAACACATGTTCCATCCGTTTAGTTGTATAACTAGATGGGGTCTATATGACAACTCACCGTGGCCAATCCACCAAGGCCAACTTGCCATGGGACAATTCAGTGCGGGATTAGTTCTTTTTATTATTCATCAAAGCAGTACAAAAGCTGGTAGACACAGGAATGATTTCCTTTGACACAAGAGATAACAATAATTTTGACGAAAATGTGGTCAACAAAAATAAAAGGAACTAAGTGAATCCTGTGGTGAGTTGGCTGCAGTGACTGGGCTGCGGCGAGTTCTCTCATTCTGACTTGATGTATGAAAAAGCACTAAACGGCTGACTATTTTCATTCCTTCACATTGAAGCAGCTCCTGACCATCTCCCATCAGCCGCTTGCCATCCAGCCTACAATGGGAAAGACTCTTCCTATCAACTTTCGCTAAAAAGCAATTTACCTTCCATGACAAAACCATCAGCATTAGGTATTTTATTTTGTGTGTGCAATAATATGCTTGTGTATTCCAGGCACTGGAATTGTGTTCCGGCTAAACCAAGTGTGGACTTGCATTCACACAGTGGAATTTACCCCTTGCTATTGGAAAAAGGGGAAAAGCTGTTTCTTCATCAAGGTCTTTTTCACCAGGAGACAAATATCTTTGGACTTAGTATATAAATACTGTATATAAAAATGATTCTGCTAGCCATCTGTTTTCAAGCACAGTTCAACGAGAGCTTGCTCTTAAGACCCTATATAAATTCCTACCCTTTTAGCCTTCTTTACAACTGTGAAGACATGGCTCTTTTCCCAGTTGAACTGTGAAGATGCTTGGTCCAATGCTGGAGAAAATGGTACCTTTGTTTTTAACTATATTTTAAGCTGCCTAGAGTCATTGTATGAGATAGGCAGCCATATAGGTCCTAGCAAATAAATGAATAAATTAATGAAAAATTGCTGTATACTGTAAAAAAAACCCAACAACAATAGGCAATGTAAGGTCAGTATATTCAAATGTTAAATGCAAACATAAAAACTGCTCATCCTATATTCATGTTGGCAGTAGGATTTGCCAAGGAGTTAGTATCATGTAAGGAAGAAGTTTCTAAAAACTTGCCACTGAACCGTAAAACTATTTCTCACTTCCTTTGATTTTTTTTTTCCTTTGGGGAGGTGGTAGGGAGGAAGGCAGTTCACTTCTAATTCTAGTCTACACTCCTGGGATTTCCTGTCTTTCAAATCCAGCAGTTCCAACTAAAAAAAGTCCTAGGCAGATTAGGACAATACATAGCAGGGCCATTTTTACCGGAAAGCTTTATTTCATTTCCTTGCCTGCTCAGCTGTAGGTGCAAACAAAACTTTTGTTTACTTGAAAACTTGTCTCAGATCATTTACAGTAATTGTGAGTAAAAGTTTTTATGGAAACTTGTTACTTCTAAACTATCAATGAACTTTTCTGGCTTTTCTCTGTGAATTAGCTAGAGAAAGGCAAATGAATTTGATGAATTACAATATAAGCAGTGTATGCTGCCCTCATGAGGAAACATTGTGAAATAAACAGAAGAGATTTCTTTTGTTTATGCAGGGAGCAAAACAACAGGGAGAATCTATGCTTGTGATGGAAGGTGTAATCTCCTGCTTTCTTCCCAATTAAGTCAGAGGCTGGCAAATTAAATGACCCACCCAGCATCCTATTTCTTGTCTGAAGGCTCACTGAGTGGATATGTCAAAAGTTTTGGAAACCTGCTGCCACTGCAAACTTTGGGCTGAAAGTTTAAGCCTCCTGATGTCATGACCTGACTGGCTGTGTCCCTTGTGAGTCTCAGGCAGGGACAACCCAAAATGACACTTATAAGCCCAAAAGTGATTACTTAAGAAGTTCTAGGTTGAACAGGATGTGCTTAAGCACTTTAAAAAATAGTCCTGGAAAGGCTGCAAATTTAAATGGCCTGTAGTCAGGGTGAAATTATTCGCAAAATTAAAAAGCATGGCTACACAAAATCTTCTCAGCTCTCCTTTCTTTGGATTGGTGCTTGCAAAGCAGACATCAAAAGAGAAAAAGCTGGACTGCCCACTTGATGGTCAATAAGGCATCGTCACTGTTGTAACATAGTTCTGAAATAATAGCACCCCTACGGTATTATTATCAGTCCAAAGGCATTGTGCAGATGTTTTTCTGTTAAGAAAAAATAGAAGAAACAGTGAGAAAATAAAGGATGATTAGAGATTGAAAGCGATATCTTTTGGACTCCAATTAACATTACAGGAATAAATTTGGACAATTAAACCTCACTGAAAGTACCATTATACTCAGCCTGAGGTAGAAATGGATTATGTATGAAGGAGGATAGATTTAAGAAGTAGTATAACCGCTGTTATTTGGTTATTTATTATGGCACTTCTTTACAGCTGAAACTACATAGACTTCATATCATAAAACCATACCATAAAACCATACCTCCATACCTATAACAAAAAAACCCTCCTATTAAAAATAGTATGATACAATCACTGCGCAGAATTTTAACATCTTACCTAATATATGTTTGTAAATAGTCTTTTCTCTCTAGTATTTAAACTGTTTAAAATTGCTTGAAAGTCTTGAACTGATGTTGATTTTGTCTTTAATATGCCATTGTTTTTTATATACTCTCTCGTGCTTGTTGTGAAGGAGTTCAGAGGTTTTTAAGGTATGGCATGCAAATTTTCAGCTATGTGCTTTCACCAAGGAAACAAAACAAAAGTAGTTCTGGTTTTCTTATTGTTATCTAGGCACTTTAACAAACCCAGGACCTCCCAAAAAACGCCACAAAGGATGGTCCCCAGAGTCTCCCTCCTCCAACGAAGCCTGGAATTTGCAGCCCAACTCACAAATCCCAACTAGAAATAAAAATGGTAATCAAAGATATCTCTGTCTCTATATCTATCTATCTATCTATCTATCTATCTATCTATCTATCTATCTGTCTGTCTGTCCGTCCGTCCGTCCGTCCGTCCGTCCGTCCGTCCGTCCGTCCGTCCGTCCGTCCGTCCGTCCGTCCGTCCATCTGGTTTAAGATTCCACTACATACATACATTCTTATTGGATGCCTGTTTGAAAGTTAGCAAATTGTTCTGTAAAACTTCTTTACAAACCCTTACCTATATAACAAGCTGTGTGTACTAGATAGTCTCCGAATGTGAACGAATAAAGATATGTGTTGAGTTGAAGTTCATTGAGTTCACTCTGCAGTCTTTGGCGGAAAAATGCATTATGTATCTGTTGCTTCTTAAAGCTGAGCAAATGTCAGACTTTATTACAGGTAGTCCTCAACTTACAATCATTCGTTTAGTGACCATTCAAAGTTACAAAGGCGATTTTTTAAAAAAATGACGTTTGACTGTTGCGATGTCCCCCGTAGTCATGTGATCATGATCTGGGCACTTGCCAACCAGCAGTCACATGGTCACCAATTGCAGCCTTTCCAGCCAGCTTCCAACAGGCAGTGCCAATAGGGAAGGCAGCAGAAAAAGTTGCAAGCCACGGCCACATGACCAGACCACTTAACAATGAATTTTCTTATCCCAGTGGTGGCTGTAAGTCGAGGACCACCTGTAAATGATACCTCAGGTAATTATCAGGCTGTCCCTGGCATTATCATATGTGATTTTTTTAAAAACAAGTTATTAAGAAATTCTTATTAATTAGTAGAATAATGTAATCATAATTAAAATGCATCAACTTCACCTGCTCCTTGTGGTTGTTTCTCATCTTCTATTGGGATAGAGACTGACAATGAATGAATGCTATGTTAGGAGATCACAGAGTTGGGACTGAAGGTTGCATAGAAGCCATATGGAATTGGTTGACTGAGATTTAAGAACAGGAGGAATGTAGTAGAGACGGGAGAGAAGGAGGAAGATGATAGATTGCTAGGATCAAAGCTGGTGACAAAGGCCTTAATTTTGTGTCCTCAATATGTGTAGGAACTGCATATTCCCAAACGATTCTAGTACATGAATTCTGGAAAAATTAAAATACTTTTATCTTTCCTCTCCTTGCTGTTTTGTTTTGTTCTGGTTTTTTTGCCTATTCTTTTAAATCAAAGTTTAAACTGATTTTCAGATGGAGGAGGAGGGCTCTCCTGTTTACCTCATGCTACTTTGGTAGGACCAGCATCTTCTCCAATAGTGGCTTCTGGGGAGCCAGTTTCAGTTCCTGAAAATTTGCTTAAAATATATAAAGCAAAACCCGTCATATTTAAAGGTAAAACAATTATATGAAAAGACCAATGCAATATCTGTTTTTTAAAAAAAAACAAAAAAAAACCTTGTAACACATTCATGCCTCTTTATATCGCACACTTGGGATCCACTATGTTATGTTTTGCTTCAACAGGGCATGGGAACTTCCCTTACCTTTGTGGGAACCTTAATGATGTCATAGTGAGCCCTCTTTTGTATACATGTTATAAGAATGCACAGTCTCTGTCTAGGTCTTATGAACAATATGGAGCCTCCACTGTACAGCCAATTTCAGAGGAAATGCAGCTCTTGTTAACAGTGTATTACCTTGTTCAGCTTGGTGAGTTTATTCAATCAACATCATATTTCAGATATTCTTAGAATTGTCAGTTCAAATTGTTAATGAAAAAGTGATTTCATAAACTGGCATAGAAACGTTTTTTTATTATTTGAACTGGGTGCACATGTAATGAGTAGCCCCAATAAATGTGACAGTCACCCTGTGCATGTACACTGATTGAATCCTTATCATTTCCTTTGATTTCCTGTTTACTGCATACCTAATATTTTGGTTTAAAGTGTTGTGAAAAAGTGTAATTTATGGACTCTAATCTCATATTGCAAAAATTTAGTAGGATTTCCTTACTTAAGAGAAGAAAATTCTGGGAAAATGTGACCATGGAGATACTCAATCATTCAGACTGTGGTTGTCCCCAGTGGTGGGATTCAGCCAGTTCACATCCACTTCGGCAGAACCGGTAGCTACTGTAATTTTTTGTTGCCCAGGCCCAGAATGGACTTCCGGAAGTGGCATCCACACAGAGAACTGGTTGTTCACATATTTGAATCCCACCACTGGTTGTTCCATAGGTGCTTTTTCCAAAAGGCAACTGGACTTTCTTGGTTTTTTACTTTGAAAACTTTTAGCTTCTCACTCAAGAAGCTTCTTCAGTCTGGGAGAATGTGAGAAAAAGTAACCCAAATTATTTCATCAGCTTGAGGGACTATTTACAGTACAGTTCATGTGTTAATAGTGAACTAATTTGTACACAAATAAGTGTGCTTCATTTGTTGTGTATTATGTAATAAATATCATTTCATGGGAAGAGTAAAATAATCTTTTTATGCCAATAGTGTCTAATGTGAGTCTTGAAATAACTGCTCCCATAACTTCTGGAGATAAACGAGAAGTGTTCTCTCTAATGGTAAATGTTCAAGTTAAAAATGCAGTAATGCATTTATATTGCACATAAATTTATTTTTTTTATGACACTAGCCTTTTGCACGAGCAGTTTTTTCTTTTTTTTTATTTGACAATATTTGTGTGTCTCATTAATTCATCTATGTTGGATGTAATTATAAGACTTGTCAGTATTTTGATCATATGTAAAAACTGCAGCAATCTGCTGTTTGGAATGAGTTTAGTGTAACCGTGATACCAGAGGAGAAGTGAGTAGCTTGGAATAGCAGATCAATCACTCCTGTTCATCATCATCTTTTCTTTCTTTCTTTTTTTTCTTTTTTCTTTTCTAATGTTTTCCTAGCTTCAGACCAGGTTCCTTTGATTGAGGATTTGGAACAGATCTTCATGCGTTCATGGCGGGAGATGTACCTCTCTGAAATCCGCCAGTATCAGCAGGCCATTCCCCAAGTTTTTCCTCACCTTCCCGGCCCCATTGCCCCAGTCACCTCAGCTCAGCTCCCATGGCTAGCAGGCCTGGCAGCCAGCTCCTGCAATGACAGCGTCCACATCATTGAGTGCAGCTATTCGCTAGCTGAAGGGCTTTCAGAAATGTTCAAGATGCTCCTTGAAGGAAAGCTGGCAAAGACTAACTATGTGGTGATCATCTGTGCTTGTAGAAACAGAGCCATAGACTCTTGCATCGTGGTTACAGGTGAGCAAGGTAGAAATTGCTCCATCTATCATCCCTTCTTGTTCTTCTTTTTTTTTTTTTTTACTTTACATGCAGCCTTTCCAATCAGAGAACTTCATCTACATTCTCGTCCAGCTACGCAAAGCAGCTGGCTTCAAGTGCATTCTGTCTTCTTGCCTTGAATTTCAGTGTTTGTCCTCTATCTAGATAAAAATAGGTATGACCTTTGAACAGTAGCCATGGAGGGATTTCATCCCTATTACCTTGGTTATGGATACACAGGCCGATCGACACACAATATCAATTTTTTCTATTTTAGATAAGCGTAATCCTACAAGAATATTCTGTTTATCTCTTAGGTTCTCCTATAGCTGCATCTGCAGGCTCTTGCTACTTTCCACAAATGATGTGGTGCATGCATTGTGGTTCAAGCTCTGTCTCTTATCGTTAGGTGCATATGCAGTGTCACAATATACAGAGAAAATGGACACGGCTTGTATTATCACATGCTTGCATCAAGAGTTCTCCCTTGCTTATCTCCCCCCCCCCAAAAAAAGCATAGGTGCTCTCCCATAAAAAGGTTTTGGAAGCATTTCAGCTTAGCAGACAATCAGTTGTTCTAAGAAAGGGGTCTTCAAACTTGGCCCTTTTATGACTTGTGGACTTCAACTCCCAGAATTCCTCAGCCAGGCATGCCTGGCTGAGGAATTCTGGGAGTTGAAGTCCACAAGTCATAAAAGGGCCAAGTCTGAAGACCCCTGTCCTAAGATTTGTTTCTGAAGAGCTACAGAATGTAGATTTTCAGCATATACATGATGCAAAATACATCAACTACTGGCTTTTTATTGAAAGAACCATATTAACGCCCTTGGTGGTATTTCTTTTTTGGATAATTTGTCATGTTGTGAAGTCTCATTAAGATACATGCTAATAAATGTGACATATTATTTGATGGCTTTGTCATAAAATGAATTATTGGCTGCATATTCACTTTGTAAGATTAGTGTGGCCCGAAGGTCATGCTACACACATACCTGGACATCGGAGTTCTTCCAGTGTAGAAATTTATCTTGTCACCTTCTTGATGCATTCATAGTATTTTATGAATAAATTATCCTTTACAACACAGGACTAAATAAGTGGCATTTCTTTAGATTCACTAAAGAAGACAGTCTTTTCTGCAGAAATTAGATCTTAGATTTATTTTTAGAACCATTAAAATTGGTTCAGGAACTGAGCAACACTATGAAGTAAAATATTTTTGTAAATGTACTGTTCCAAAATTAAACTGCAGATCTAAAGAGTTTTTTTTTTTTGCTTTGAATACTCTTGGGTCTTGACCAACTTAGATACTGCTGACCCAAATGTTAGTGAGAAAAAGAGCTGGAGGGTTATTTACAATATATTTTGCCTTTCCTTCTTGGATGTTTCTGATTTCTAGATAATCGCTATCCTGTTATCAATCATATCCAGATCTACCTATCATCTGCATTTTTTTCCACATTTTATTAGTTTTTTTTATTCCCCAAACTAGTATCCCTCCAATGCTTTGGACTACAATTTTGATTCTTACACATGAGAATATGGAAGTTATTCTTAGATCTGGAGGGTTTCCGGCTGCAGAAGGATATTTCATGCTTTTGGATCTGGGAAAAATAATCCTGACTTTGATTTAGTGGAATTGTGATTCAGAGATTCGTCTTCCTTTTTCTATCTTTTAGGGAAATATCAAGCAAGAATACTCTCCGAAAACATGCTCACTCCAGCAGAATATCAGAAAGAAGTTAGTTACGAGCTAGTTACTGGGAAAGGAGAAGTTCTTGGAGCATTTTTCAGTTCTCTCTGCCCAGGTATGCCATGGGACCTTTACACTGTGCTTGCAGGTGGATTTTTTTTTTCATGGTAAAAAGCAAATACGCCAAGAACAAAAGTAGACCTGGAGCACCAATTGGCTGGCATTTTTTCACACTTCCCATTAGCTGGCTGCAGGGGACACTGGCCAAGACAAAATATAGCAATGGGTTGTGGCACATACTAGTTGCCAAGAATTCCAAGTTTAAGGCCAGTAGTGGGAAGTGTTCCTTGGGATTTTTTTTCCAGTTCACATTAATCTTCTACTTACTGTAAGATAACATTATTTATTTGCCAGCTGATAGACAGGTGATAGTAAAGCCTGAAAGCCCTTTATATTTAGTTGCCATTTACAGGGCATTAGATTAAATGCCAAGTAGCCTGTTATATTAAATGCCAAGTTGTCTGTCAGATTAAATGTCTGTCTTAAGTGGGCATGTTTTCTTTTAAAATTCCTTCCTTCCTTCCTTCCTTCCTTCCTTCCTTCCTTCCTTCCTTCCTTCCTTCCTTCCTTCCTTCCTTCCTTCCCAACAATTGTTGGAACCAATTGGAAAGCATAAAATTAAAAATTAAAATAAAATGATTTTCTTCATGCAACATCCTAAGATAAGTACAGTATCTGAATTTCAAATATTACACCCAGAAGCACCATTCTGTAATTGTAATCTATAGCGCCTGTCTTCCTCAAGAATCGGAACGTTCATGAATATCCCACAGCTTTAATGCAACTCTGCTATTCCTGAAGCTCTATTACGGATCCATACAGCTTTAACACAAAAAATTAAGATAATTTTTTATTTCATTAGATGGTGACCTTGATGCTTTGTTGGATAAATATTATCAAGAAAACAGAGCCCACATATCATCATCTCTCTCTGCTTCTGCAAATAAACCGGCAACCCTCGAAGTAACTGGAGCAGCTGTGTGTACAAGTATGTGTGGTGTATATGTAACCAATAAGGATATATATTTTTATATACTGTATTTGTACCCCTTCCTACCATTTTTTCCAAGAGTCTTGACACTGAATGTTCACCTCACAATTTAGGAATCTAAGTAAATAAAGAATTACATTTTTTCCCCCTCACCATCTTTTTGCTTTTTCCCCACTAGGTTATAACCTTGAGCGGCATCAGATTCATCCTTTCCAGCTCACTGTGGCCCAGAAATTGCTCTCTCACGTTTGCTCCATTGCAGATTCCAGCACCCAAAACCTTGACTTGGGCTCTTTTGAGAAAGTAGATTTCCTCATTTGTGTGCCACCTTCAGAAGTGACATATCAGCAAACCCTCTCCCACCTCTGGCATTCAGGTGCTGATTGGTGTCAATAGGTCGAAAAGAACCGCGACGCAAATTTGTGTCAGCTAGCTAACACGCAATATCTTTCTTTAGGTGTTTTGCTAGAGCTTGGCTTGGAGAAGGAACACCTTACAAAAGAGAGGGTGGAGCAATATGTTGTCAAGCTTGACACCGATGCCCAGTTAAAGTTTAAAGCTTTTTTGCAAAACTCTTTGCAGAATCCACACACCCTGTTTGTACTCATCCATGACCATGCTCACCGGGACCTTGTAAGGTAAGAAAAGTTGCGCTTTTTAGTGAAGGACAGTGCTGTTGTTGGGCAATAGAGAACTACTATGCTCTGCAAGCTCCTTAAGTATATCAACAAATATTCCTTCTGCACTATTTGTATTAGCTCACCTAGAAGCCGCCGCTTCACTCATATTGGCATATAATATGAAAAAAATAAGGAAGTACCCAAGTCTTCATACCTGCACGATGGCCTTAAGAGTTAAAGGCAGCAGGTTTAAGAATCAGTTGCTAGAAAATAGAGCTATCGTCTCTTGTACAATTTGATAGCTTTCTGGATGCAGTTGATAATCTACTACAGGTATCCCTCAACTTATATTCATTTGGCGATCATTTAAAATTACAAAGGCATGGAAAACAGCGATTCACAATCAATCCTCACCCTTACAACGGTCGCAGCATTGCCTGATCACACGATCAGATTTTGGGCACTTGGCAACCTGCATGTATTTTTTGACAGTTGCAGCATCCTCGGATCATGTGATCGCTATTTGCAATCTTCTCAGCCACCTTCCGGCAACCAAAGTCAGCGGAGAAGCTGAATTTGTTTAACTACCACCTGGTTCATTTAACAACTGCAGTGATTTGCTTAATAACAGTGGCAAAAATATTGCAAAATTGGGTGCGCCTCATTTAACTGCCTTACTTATCAGAATTTCTAGTTGCAGCTGTGGTTGTAAATCAAGGACTACCTGTATAGGGCACAGAATATTGAATTGGACTGATCCAGCACTGCTTGCCTTTGTGTGTGTATGTGTGTGTGTGTGTGTGTAAGTATATCTGTATGTGTGGATAGATAGCGATACCAATATATATATCATATATAGATATAGATATATCACATATATAGATATATGATATTTTAAATGTGTAAATAACAGATGGACATGCATCTATTTTACTCTGTGTTCACAGAGCATTTATATTCAACCCTTGACTGCACATTCTCTCTTTTACAGCGCAGTTCATAGCCTGTATCCTCAGTCAGATCCAGCCGTGGGACTCGTGGATAGACTGCTGAATTGTAGAGAGGTGAAGGAAGCTCCCAATATTGTCACTCTTCATGTGACTTCCTTTCCTTATGCACTGCAGACCCAATACACCCGCATTAGCCCTTACAATGAAATTCACTGGCCTTCGTTATACAACAATGTAAGAAGATACTTTTAGGATCAACATGAGCTTTTGTTTTTGTTTTTTTACATTTAGTATGTCTGTAGTGATCGCATGACAGTTTAACAAAATAGATTTTCTTCTTGGTCCATCCGTTCTTAGATTCTTCTGTCATGTTTTCCTTACTTTTTTTGCATCAAAGATGTGCAACAGGGCTGGGCAAAGCATTCAGCATAAAGCTGTTCAAAGTGAGTTGATGCGAGCAAACCACAACTGTTGAGGCAAAAGGTTCTGCTTCAAAACTTTTCCCAAAGTGTCATTGCACATGATGCAGGCACATTGCACACGTGTGCAAGCTTCAGTTTGCCAGTAGTCACCATGACAATGTTGTCTATGCCTGTATATCCACGTGCGAACAATTTGGGAAAGCGCTTGAAGTGACTACACTGAGCCTTCCAGAGGCCATGGCTGCTTCAAGACCTTGAGGAGGGATGCTTTACTTGTAACAGCATGATTTGCCCTCGGAACCGGGCCGCGGAAGTGGCGTGCAAGCGTGTGCACATCCCCCACTTGCATGAACAGTGGACGAGGGTGGGCGTGCATGCTCCATTTGTGTGAGCAGCAGTGGGCATGCTTGCCCATCGCTCATGCAAATGGAGCTGCATGCAGATGCGTGCTCGCCTGCTGCTCTCGTCCCCTCTTCCCCCCTGCCCGCCGGTCCTCAAAGCCGGAAAGGTTGGGGAACTCTGCCTTATTGCTCCGTTATTTATTGGCACCTTTATTTCAGGAGAAATGAAATGGATGAGGTAAAGACACATTCTATGCTTGATTTGAAATAAATTCAATTCAATTAGTTTATTTCATTGAATACCAATAATATGGCCACTGCTAATATATATTAATACACTTTTCCATTTATTATATTAACATTTACCATTCAGTTACACCTTTGGGAAAAACCTCTGGAAGATAATCCCCAAATGTTTTCAGGGTACATGGAAGCTGTACACATTTTCTTGAGAGATCCTTTTATGCCTTGTTTCTTTTTGTCTTGACTTTCTACCAAAGAAGCAAATAGTGAAAGTCGAACTTAAAATGTTTTTGAGAGCTATCTATGAATACTAGATTGTGCAGCCTTCCAAAGAGATACTTTGCACCAGATAGGAAAAGTGGAAAATATATATATATGCCCGCTTGCTTCATGGCTTGACAGTTAAACAACCATCTAGCTATATAAGCAGTTTTCTCTAACCACCGATTACCAACGTGCAAGCAGCCCAGGTTCGAATCTCAGAAGGGTGTTCCTGTGCTTTCAAAGAATCTCTTTCAAGAGACTGCACAATCCTAATGAGCTCCATCTGTTGTCAGGAAAAGCAAAGTGTCCCCATTTGAATTGAGGGGGCATTTGTTTGTGCATGCACAAATATATTTCTATTCATGTGGTCATTTGTTTCTAAAGCTGTTGAACAATTAACTAATTGCTTGAATAGTTATGGTAGTAAGGATCACAGGTGACTCAATACTGTAATCCATCTCATTTATTCTAGGGTATGGACTTATATCATGAAAACAAGAAGTACTATGGATTGCATGAATTCATTGAATCCACACTTTCTGGACACAGTCTTCCATTGCTTCGTTATGACAGCTCTTTTGAAGCAATGGTCATGGCTTTGGGGAAAAGGTAGAGTGAATGCTGTTTAATAATGTTTAGCATTAAGCAGAGTTTGGAACTGCAGTGTTCCTTTTGTTTTTGTCATTAGCTTTTTTAAAAAAAGAATAATATTCTTTTAGACTTACATATTTCCATATACCTGAAGCTTCCCTCAACTATACAAAAACCATTATTTTCTCTCTGGATCATGATGATAACTGCAGAAAAATTCCATCCTCCATTGATATCAGATCTTTGTTTCCCATGGGAGTTGACAGAATTCAGCAACATCCATAGATGGTGGGAAAAATAATTTGACTTTTGAGAAAGGGATGGTACCTGAGGATTTTGTGTTTTTAAAAAAAACTATGTACAGCAAGAGTTCCAGAATATATATGTTAATCAGTGGTAGGATTCAGCCAATTCACATCGTAGCTAATTTTTTGTTGCCCAGGCCCAGAATGGACTTCCAGAAGCAGCATCCACACAGAGATATTCAAATATTCACATATTTGAATCCCACCACTGATCAGTCATGTTTTTTTTGTTGGACTTAAAAAAGCCAATTTGCTGTAGTATTAAAGGCCTGAGGGGATCTAGTAGCCAGCTGGGTGACTGGTTTAGTCATTCTTTTCCCTAGACTGGGAACTGAAAAATATTTTGGAAGAAGGCATTGGCAAACCTAGGGTTTAGGTATCTAAAGTATCCTTATAAGATCCTCTTGCTTTTTGTTTCCTTTCAGATTTCCTCGGCTGCATAGTGCAGTGATAAGGACATTTGTTCTTGTCCAGCACTACTCTGCAGCCATGATGGCAGTATGCGGCTTATCTCAGATGAAAAATTACACTACTGTTGAAACTTTAGAGATCACGCAGAACCTCATCAATTCTTCCCAGCAGTGTCCCAGTGGACATGGGCTGATGGTGGTCTTAAGGATACCTTGCATGCCATTGGCCGCGGTGGCTTATGAACGCCTCAACCACGTGAGGGAAAGGCTTGCTTTGGAAGGCCGGTTTGAAATCATCTTGGGGAATCCCAACTCTGGAATGAACATAGGGAAGCACTTTGTGGAACAACTCAAGGTACCTCGTGATGGAATTTCAGCTGCCGTAGCCTGAGCAGCTAACATCTGGTTAAAATAGTCTGTAGGAACAAAAAAGCATTTAGGATTAAATTTGGCTAAGACATTGCATTCGTGACAGTAGTTGCATTCTTTAAATGGGAGAGGGCAACGTTTGGGAAACAGTAGAGCACTTTCTTTAAAAAAAGTGTAAATTTTAGTGGGCGATAACTGCAAGTGATTCTTTGTGTTTTTATAATGATAGTTCTACAAGATAGGGGAAAGGACTTTCAATCTCCCTTTTCATTCTCTTCAGTTCTTTCTCTCCAATTTCTAGGAGTATGAAACATATTTGAGGTCTATGTCTTTACTCTGCCAACAAAAATGGATGGTATTTGCCAGGACTTTGACATTTTGCTTCTAATGTCAATAATCCAAAATCTCCTTTTTACATGAAAGATGATTCTATTTATTTTAATTAGGATGACAAGCTTTCACCAATAAAATATTTAAATCAGTGTAACTTTTAATCATTTGAATTAAAATTTAAATAAGAGGGCTCAACAAGGCCTTCAAAGGAATTTCCATGTTTTCAGCCCAGCTTTTAATAATTTGTTAGTAACTTAAATGGTTATGGATTTTATGAGGATTTTAATTTTATTTTATTTCACAATACTCAAATTAATCAGTTTTAAGATTAAACCACTCTAAATCATTTAAGAAACATTAAAATAATCTAGGAGATAACAATAAAAATAACAACAAAATATATTTTTTAAATTTTTTAGGATATTTTGATTTGGTTAATGGGCACTTTTTAAAAAAAAAATGGTAAATTTTATCACACCCTTTCCATAATTTAAAAAGAAAGGATAATCATGTTGAGATTTTGATAACATGCAAATTGAGTCGAATGTAGCATCCAACTGTTACGAGTTAAACATATTATTTAACAAAAATAATTTTAATTAATGTTGAATTTGTTCTAGAATTACAAATTATACCAGCATTTTTCTAGAATGACACACAGAATTTATTTGTACGCACTCCCGCCATTTTATTTAGAACAGCCTTGTGAGTGAGGTGATGTTTCTGCTAACTCCCTGGCCAGCTTCCCCTGAGCTCTGAGGTTGACTGCAGGCGGGTCTGAAGCTGGATGTTGTGCTGGGCTAGAAAGCAGGAGATGGCTGTGTTCTAGGCTTCCCTCAGGCATGAAAGCCACTGGTGACTTTGGGCCAGTTGCTCTTTCTCTTCTTCACCCACCTCAGAGGGTTGTGCTTGGGGGAAAAGAGGAGGCAGGAGTATTAAGTACAGGTATTCCTCGACTTACCACCGTTCCCTTAGTGACCCTTTGAAGTTACAATGGCACTGAAAAGAAGTGACTTATGACCATTTTTCACATGACTATTGCAGCATCCCCATGGTCACGTGATCAAAATTCAGACGCTTGGCAACTGACTCATATTTATGACGGTTGCTGTGTCCCCGGGGTCTTGTGATTTCCTTTTGTAGCCTTCTGACAGGAAAAGTCAACGGGGAAGCCAGATTCACTTGACAACCGTGTTGTTAACTTAACATCTGCAGTGATTCACCTGACAGCTGTGACAAGAAAGGTTGTTAAATGGTTGTTAAATTCACAGCTGTCTCGCTTAGCAATGGAAATTTTGTGTGCCATCAATTTGATTGTAAGTCAAGGACTACCTGTATATATACATGCATACATATACACAGAATGAAATCATTATTATTATCATAGGGTGAAAAAAATATAGTAATAACATCAGCAACGTTTAAGTCCATGTTCCAGATGACCTCAACAACTGTGTAAAGTATGCCACCGCTTTACTCTTTTCTCTTCACCGTGTTAAAAATGAAGGCCAGAGCTGATTGACAGGAGCATGACCAGAATATTCTACATGCCCTCAGTTGAGCTGAGATCTGGAGCAGAAATTGATTGATTGATTGATTTAAATCCGACCTTTTTATTTTTATACTTATATGTAACTCAAGGCGGCAAACATACTTTCCTCCTCCTATTTTCCCCACAACAATGAGGTGGGTTGGTCTGAGAGGGAGTGACCGGCCCAACACTTAACTCCCCCCCCCCTCTTGATTGGCTGGATATAGTCTAATTAGTTGTCTTAAATATGACTGACAGAACTGGCAGAAAATTGAAGATGCTGATTGGAGGCCCCAGACATATTTGGAACTGGAGGGTCTGCCTTGCATTTTGATTTTCAGTGGAATGGATCCTCAAGGAGAATCCCTGCCAAGGTAATGAGTGTTATTAAAAATAAACCAAAACCAAAAAGTCCAAAAAACCAAAACCCAACCATGAAATAATGCCTAGTAGCTTGTATTGACAATCTTTTCTTGTTTTTGCAATAGTAATATGAAAAGTACTGCATCTTAAAGCCCCCTTTTTAATAACTTCTGCTTGTATTCTAAGTGCTGGATGCGAATTTTAGAATGTCACTAAACTATTTCATTGTTTTATGTTTAATTTTTGGGAAGTCAAGGCCTAAAACCTTACTTGCTTTGTTGGTTGTGTTCAGCATGCTTACTGGCACAAAGTAGTCCACTCTACTCGTAGAAGAAGAAGGATTGAACTATAGTGCCTCTGTTCAGTTAAATAATTCAAAAGAGGATCATTTTTGGATGGCATCCAAAATCACCAGGAGCCCTCTGAAGGATCATTGGAAGGAAGGATGTTCCTCAACCCTTGGCAAACATTGAATAGTTAGAAAATAGGGATCTGAACCAGGTTGGTGCTTCGGATCTGATCTAGGTGTGCTTGCCCTATGTAGTCTCTAACAGGTATAGCAAGTAGCCTCATGCTGTATCTGAAACATCTTTCCTGTTTTGGGCCAAACATTTGCACATCCCTATTAGGGAAAAATATGTTGGGAAGAGTACATTTCTCTCTGGAACCTGATACTATCCAGAAACAAATATTACCTTCCAGCAAAAGAGGTGCACTGTACATTGGGTCAGGGATACCTACCAGTTTGATAACTTTCACGTTTGGGATTTGGTCTAGATAATATATCCTAGGCTGAATTTTGGGACAAATTAAGCCCCACTTGTACCTCATATATCAAGGAAAGGCAATGCATAAATAGTGTTTCGCAACCTTAGCAACTTTAAGATGGATGGACTTTAAGTCCCAGAATTGCAACACCCATAAAGTAATTGAAATGCAATTCTCCATTAATGTTTATTGTAGACAAACAATAGAAAGGGTAGGAATAGTTGGTAAATGGCATTTCTTTATTAATATTACTGGCATGTTGATTTTGTTCATTCTTTTTCCATCTGCCTATCCAAGATCCTTGAGATACTGTGATCTACGACTGATAAACTCCTCGTGCCTGGTGAGAACAGCTTTGGAGCAAGAGCTTGGCTTGGCAGCCTATTTTGTTAATTCTGAAAGTACAGTAGAGAAAGGAGGAACCACAAACGATGTCTTGGAGAGTGACCCAGAGAAACTGAGCAGTACTGATAATGAGGATGAAGAAATAGTAACGGAAGGTAAAGGGACATCCTTTGGACCACAGCATTAAACCAATCTTCCCCACCCGTGGTCTTCCAATGGATTGAATACAATCCATTTTTATTTGTTAAACCTGCTTTTTATGAGTAGGATCAAGAGCTGACAAGGGCAGAAGTTCCTTCCAATCAATGACTATTGATAAATTTCAGTCACTGTTTTCTTTTAAACATTTTTATATTGTAATATACTTCTGGAACTCTTTGGGAGGAAGAGTGGGACCTAAATAAATACATGTTTCTAACACCTTTCCTTGCTACAAATTTGCTCCCTTCCCCAAATTTCCCCTTTAAGATATACTAAATGCACATTCCTCCTCCTCCTCTTCCTCCTCCTCCTCCTCCTCCTCCCTTTTCCTTTTGTCAGGAAGCATTACAATCTGTGATAGGCACTGTTCCAAAGACAAGCAGGTCCTCTTTGGGGAAGGAATCAATTCAGGGATACATGGTTGAGGTTCATTCATTCATTCATTCATTCATTCATTCATTCATTCATTCATTCATTCAATTTATATGCTGCCTAACAAGAGACTCTGGGAGGCTTGCAAACATATAACCAGAGGTACAAACATTAGAAGATTTAAATATTAAATAAATGAAAAAGTAAAAAACTACAATATTTATGGGATGGAGATGGGGTCTTCTTCCACTAGCCCCCCCCAATATAGAACACCCCCACTGGGCCCCCTGACCTGTTGGCGGAGTCAGGTTTTGAAGCTCTTATGAAAAGAGAAAAGGGGGAGAGTTGTGGATCTCAAGGGGCACAGTGTTCCAGAGGGTGGGAGCTACGGCAGAAAAGGCCTCTCTCCTGGAACCCACCTGCTAGAATTCCTCAACTAACGGAGTATGCACCATGTCCCTTCCGCTGGTGTGGGTGGGGCAAGCCAATCTCACTGGGATGAGACAGTTTTTCAGGTAGTATTTTCATAGTCATATCTTATCCTAATAATTTTGTGTGTATATATGTATATGTGTGTGTGTGTACAGTATATGTACGTATGTATATAAGTATATATGGAAATGGTTCATGTCTTACTCCCGTTGATCAGAACTACAAAAATATAATACCTATCATTTTATCATGTATCTTTGAGGGAATCGCTGAGAGGAACACTGATATCAAATAAAATTCTATTTCTTCACCCCTTTTGTATTTTACGTTAGATCAGATTATGTCTATAAAAATATTAAATAAGATTTCCCTTCAATTATGGAGCAGGCTCAACTTCCGAAAGAAGAAGCCCTGTGAACAGGGAGAGATCTGGCTCTTGTGATTCTGCCGATTCATCTGTCTCTTCAAAAGCATCAAGTAAGACTTCCCACATGTTGGAATGTTATTTTATTTCTTGAAACCAATTATATCTCTCTTGTCTTTTCCATAGCAGTGTTCCTCAGCCTCAGCAACTTTATGATGAATGGACCTCAAATCCCAGCCAAGTGTGGGGATTTTCTGTGGGACGTCCAGATTCAGACAGGCACTAGCCCAGGGGTGTCAAACTGCTGGCTCTGGGGCCGGATGCGTCACGCGGAAGCCGCACCCACCCCAGCTCCGGCAAGGGGAAAAAAGTCACTAAAGATCGTGACACGTCATGTGACGCAGCGAGTTTGACACCCCTGATGTAAACTTTTAAAACCTATCTTTATAGAATTAGGTATGTTTTTTTACAATTTCTGATAGGAAAATATTTTCAACCAGTGCTGTTAAGAGTTTTGCAATTTATTTTGTTGGAATTAGTCATTTGTAACATGGAAAAGAATTTGGGCATGGAGACTTAAGCATGCACATAAGTAAAATCTCATGCTGAAACAAATGATCTTTTTGTCCCAGAATTCCTTTCTTTACCTTCTACCGGTCAGTTATTAGTAGAAAATGTTATATACTCTTATCACATTGCCAAAAGTATCTTAAAATCTTGACTGGTTTGGACAAAAATCAGCAGCACTTAAAACAGGATTGACCAACATGATCGCCAACGTCTGATAACGGATATGGCACAACAACAAGAAGATAATATTACAATATATTTTTAACATCTTATTACATAGCAGTATTTCAATCTACTATATGTAGAATTCTTGTCTAAAAATAATACATCATGAAGGAATTTAAATTTTGTCTGTCATTTTAAATGTGTTGCAGTAGTGTTCATTGCCATAATAAGTATAATTACATTTTCTAGAACTGAAATAAAGAACACAGAGACAAACAAATATGTCATCATTTGGAGAGTGGAGAAGAAATATAAATTTGGTCAGAATGCTTCCCCAATTTCCCAGCCCATGTACTCATAGGAAAATAAACATTTGTTTCACATTTCACAAGCGATGGTACATAGATTAATCATCCTAATACACAAAT